AAAAAAAAAAAAAAAAATAAAAACCACTGTTTTCCCCTGATATAAATAAATTCGTCCATGAAGGAGATAAACAAGCAAACAACGTTAAACGAGAACAGTGCTGCAATAATGATTGGCGTATCTGGGTTAATAAATGTCTCACGTTCCTATTGAAATATCACACGCACAAGCTTTCGTGCTACCTATCCAGTTCTTGATAAAATCGTGATACGTATGAGTTCTAATTTAATACCGTGATAAAACAGACGAAGACGGAATGACATTCCATTTATATAATTTGTGGAAATCAATTTTCTTGTCATTTATAAATCTGTAATAAGATATACATAAAATTGAACTTGGTCTGTACTTGAGAACAATTTGCACGCAAGTAAACAGAAATTTAGAAATTTAATGTTTCATTGTGAATATTCGCTCTTTTCTTCTTCTTTCTTTCTTTCTTTCTTTTTTTTTTCTTTACCACTGTGATTTAATTTGACGCCAAGGGGCAAATTAGAAATAAGAGGTAGAATGACAAGATTCACATTATATCATGTAAAATATAATAAAAACAAATTAACACTAGAACTATCAAAGCGATCAAAATAATCAATTTATAAGTTTTGTTGAACATTTTACAGACGTGAAATTATGTTGTTAGAGAGTTGCAATAATTTTCATGATAATATCTATTGTATTGTGAAGTATTCCTTGTTTTTTTAACGACTCTAATTGGGATTTTAAAGTATGATAAATTCTTTCATAATTGAATCAAGATACTGTAATCGTTCATAGAAAACATTTTATAGGGAAATATTGCTATGATGATATTAATGCACAATGATGCTTATACTTACTTTGGAAGTTCGACGGTGACAATACCCTTCGGATGTATTTCTACGGATGTGCCCCAGAATTTCAATTTCGGGTGTATAGTGCCGTGGAATATGAACTCGTCGTTGTCTGCGTGGAACGCAGACACCGGTGGATGATGCGACACTTGCTCGCACACTATTCTAAAAATGATAATTGCAACGTATAAGTTTGACTTCTTCTTAATTCAAAAAAAAAAAAAAAAAAAAAAAAGAAGAAGAAAAGAAAAAAAAATTGAAGAAACATAATAGTGACAAATATGTATATATTACAGTATGAACATGTATCGTGACAAGAATAATATAAATTAAAAGAAAACAAAAATAAAACAATAATAGGATAATTCTGCTTGGAGTGAGTCAGAAATAAACAGACTATTTATCTATTTTTAGCTTCACAATTTTGGATCTAAATATGAACATTTTATGAAGCCGGATGATATTTGCTTTCAACGAGACATCGATCACAGTAAATTTTCAAATTGCACCGGGACTTGGTTTCCTGGAGTTATGCGAGGTCAATGTTGTCAAAATTCATTAACACCTAAATTTGTACGCTTTGGTATAAGAACAAGGTTAATTGGATAATTTAATAAACTATTCCCAAGAGT